ATCAGAGGCCACTGCCACACTCCAATGGCCCTGCCAAGCCAAAATGGATAGAGTCATGACTGCTGCCCTCTTGTAACACTCTGATAACCTGAGTTTTGTGGATTTCTCTTTTAACAAAAAGAATCTCTCCATCTAACTGGTCCAAGCTGATGGATAGTTCAGGAGTCAGTGCTTTTCCTAGAAATGATCCTGTCTGTGAGTAAGAGGGGATGCCTCTTGCACGGTTGCTTGCTCCATGCAGTCCCACTGTCTAAGAACTGGCCTGCACTGCATTTCCCAGCTCTGTGCCTAGCTTGGAGGCCGGGCTTGATTATCCTTTCTGTGCTCCACAGCCTGGAGTTGCTGTGTACCTTTGTTGCTTTAGCCAGGGAGCCCAGAAACACCGTTGGCAAAGGAAAACATAGTGGGTCTCAGCCCCAGGTACCCACAGTCATGGGGAAGTCATTTGCATTGGAAGACACAGGTCCCCTTCGGCCCTGAATTGTCCCTGGGGAAGGGCCGGGTCTTCTCTACCTTCCCTGCTTGGATGTCCTTGTTTCAGTAGCCTCATCCTTTGAAGGAGGTGGAGGAATTTGCTAGGATCTTGGTTAGCCGCTTTCCTGTGAATGTTTGATCTAATTATACCAGGAAGCCCCAGTGGAAGGACAGAAAGTGCCCTGGTTGCCCTGCTGGCAAACAGCTGGCCATTTGCAGAGCAGGGGAAGGGGAGAAAGGAGCTCCTGACACCTGCCTCCTGTCCTGAGGTGTCATCTCACCCCCCTCTGGCTTGAGTCCTCCTCTATCAGCACTCTGGTTTGGTTTCCTGGGTTACCGTCCTCCGTAAGCCATGTCTTCACAGGCCTGAGCTCTTGAACAGCAGCAGGGGCATGTGGGCGCCCACTTGAGCTGCCACTCTCTGGGTGCCCAGTGGTAGCCCAGATGCCCCCCTGTGCTGAGCCTCAGCCCTCCTGCTAAGGGGGGTACACAGGGTGGTGGGGCCTGTTGTCCCCCTCCAGTATAAACAGGCTGGCTCTTCCCTCTTCTTGTCCAGGTTGATGTGTGAGACAGGGAATGAGATGACATAAGCCATTAGGGCATGGTAAAGTACTTCCAGAAAGGTCCTGCAAGAAGGTGCTCACCATAAAGGGTGTGAGATGGGGCTTACTACCTGACCCAGAGTCACTGGTTAGCCTCACAAAAACCAGGTGTGCCTCTCCCTGTGTTGCAGCTTATCTCCCAGGCCCGTTTCCTAGAGGTGCTGTCCGTATGACTTGCAGTGAGACACAGCATGGCTGGGGGAACCATGGTGCGGAACACAGACTTGGAGCCCGGCCATGTGGGCTGGGGCCTCCTCGGCTCTACCGCTTGCTCACTGTCAGACCATCTCTCTCTAACCCTGGCCTGTGTACCTCCAGCTTCCTCCCCTATAAAATGAGGGTGCTAGGGGCACACAGGTTGAATGAGTTATTTGCCTCATGCATTAAAAATTTCTGATAGCTTGTATTAGCCTCAGCTGCCACTGCTATGGTCATTATAGTTGTCATTGCCATCCGGTATGGGCTGCACGCTATCTTGCCTAGCTACTTCTTTGCTGACTGGTAGGAAGCTGCCTTTTCCAAGCTGGCCTCTGGGGCCCCAGTTGGGTTTGGATACAATTCACCCGGCAGAAGTACCAGCTTTCTGCAGAGCCAGCATGTAGTCCAAATGAATGAGGCAGAGTAGGATCTGCCTACAGTGGGGTGTGCAGAGGGGGGCGGGATGTGAGTGGGACCACCATGGGACCAACAGGAAGCAGTGTGCAGCCTAGAGCGTGTGAGAGAATAAGCATCAGGCCAACCAGAGTTTGCAGGCTTGGAACCTGGACGTAAAGAACAGGCAGAAAGATCTTCACCAGGTAGAAAGCAGGCACCATGTGCACTTGGTGCTCCTTGACTGGCCCCTCGCTCCCAGCTGCTGCCCAGCAAAGGCACTCTCTCCAATTCACCTCTGCCTTCCCCCGGTCCCTACTATCAGGAAGCCCCTCTTGAGAGGGAAAGTGAGGCACAACATCTTTGCCATATACTGTTTGCCACTGCACACCTGAGTGCCCCACAGTGCCCCTCATGAGCTGGCTGTCAACAGCGGGGGCATAGTGTGTGATCAGAGGCCAATAGCTTACTGCCTGGGTGGCTCTGATAGTGAGCACATGGAGTAGAGACTCCTCCCAGGGAAGCCGCGGGATGTTAGGACCCTCTGCCTAGGGACCCGGGCCCTGAACTGTCGGCAGATACATCTTAGCCATTGGAAAGAGCCTGTCTGAGATATGGGCCCTTTCTGTCAGAGCAGCAGCTTGGTAAGAGCTGGTTACTACTGGTGCTGCTGCTGCTGCTCCAACATCTGATCTTGGCCAAGCCCCTTGCTTCCCTCTGGGCCTCAGTTTTCCCAGCTGAAAGCACAGGTGCGAGCCTGGACAAAGCAGGCCTGACCTAACTCGTCATCCTCAGAAGGGAGTAAAGTGGCGGGGCTGCCCTCTTGAATGTGGCCTGGCCGTTGCATGAGTGAATGTCACTTAACAGCTGGGAGTTTGCTGAAGTCCCCTTGCTACCAGACGCCAACCTGGATTTGGCTGACAGTGTCTGATGCAAATGGAAAAAGTGAGTTGTGGAGAAGATAATAAGGGCTGAGAGCCATGCTGGACATTCGAGGCCAATGAGGTTGAATCTTTTAGAGCTTTCAGTGATGCACACAGCCCACGGTGGCAGACGTGCCATAGCTTCGCCACCATTGTTCTAGGCCCTTTTGATGCATACAAGGCCCGGCCTCAGTTACAGGGACATCCTTGTCCTGTCAGGCCTCCTCCCTGTTAGAAAGCTGTCCCTTTTCCAAGGGCCAGAGCTCACCTCCCTACAGACTCTACCAGTTGTTCTGATCAGAGACAGGCTGTGAGGACAAAGGTGATTTCTACGTCCCAAATACCAGCTAACACCTACAGCTCCTCAGGGAGGAGTCTAAGTGACCCAGGCCATCTCAACACCAAGCTGTGGCAGCTTCCTGCTCAGGCTCAGAGCAGCCCTGGGCCTTGCCTTCCTTTCTGGAGATTTGTGCAGCTCACCAAAAAGGGCTGTGGCTGCCCCAGGGCCAGGAGCCCACCCGAGATGGGGTAGATTGGAGAGGAGTCGGGGCAGCCTCCTGGTGGACAGGAAGAGACTGAGGCTCTGGGAAGCCTGTTGAGGACACCAGAGTGGATCAGGTGGACTGAGCCAGAGCTGCTGTCCTTCCCCTCATTCCTAAACACATTTCATGGGGGACTAGAGAGCCAAGGAGAGGCCAGGAGAGAACATGGGACCTTTTCTGATTCTCTCCGTGGCAGCCCTGAGAGACAGACAGGAGTAAGGGGCCTGTGGCTGTGAGCCTGGGGCTCTCTCACTGCCCAGCCAACCTCCCTCCCACCTCTGCTTTCATGCAGAATGCTGCCCTCCCCGCCTTGCCCCCCCACCCTTTGCCTCGCTCCTGGGCTTTTTTTTCCAGAGAGCTACGTGCTAAGGATCTGCCGGTTCATTCTCAGACACGGGGCTGGAGCTCAGGCCCCATCATCCTGCACTGCACCCTGGATGATGAAACCTTTTGGCACTCAGGTCGACCTCCATTGCTTCCATTGTTTCTTAAAAGAGCTGGCATTTTCTAGAAGGTACTGGAGAGGCATCATGCTCAGGCTGTTGGTGGCAGTACTGATTCTGCTCTATTCACTCAAAATGTACATTCTTTTTTTAAAAAAAAAAATTTATATCTTGGGTTACAGATTTCTTTCATCTAAAAAAAAGTCTTGCTGATTATTTCTGAAACAAGGCGTTTCAGAAACCTCTTAGCAGATCCAAGCTCTGGGACTCACAGTCAGCTGTCAGGCTCTTTGTTGTCCTGTGCCCAGCACTGAAGCAGTGGTGACACCAGGTCAGCTGCTCCCAGGGGTCCCCATGGCCCTGTACCCCCTCGACACAGGTCGGGCCAACAGGAAGGGAAGCAACAAGGGCATGTGGGGAGCTATGTGAGAGGTGAGAGGGATGGTGGGAATGGGGAGAGAGCCCCTGTCCCCTGCACGGAGACCCCAGCAGCCTGGCACTAAGAGGGGACTGGCTAGGTGGCCCGGCGTGATTTCAGTTCTCAGAGCATCAGTTGCTTTGTGTTGCTCTGTGGGTAGTACAGTCTCTACCCAGAAGCCAGTGTCTGTGCATGGAAGGTATTCCATGAGTGAGTGGCCATGTTTCTGCAGGGGAAGCGGGGTGCAAACCAGCCGGAGGGGGCTGGGGATTTAGCTCAGCGGCACAAGCGCCTGCCTGGCAAGCGCAAGGTCCTGAGTTCGATTCCTTGTACAAAAAAAAAAAAAAAAAAACCAGCAGGAGGATTAGCCAAGTGGAAGGGGAAGGACAGGGAAAGAGAAACTGTAACTATGGCCTGGGGGTCTTCAGGCAGGCTTTGGAAAAGGGGTGGCATTTGTCTGGGTCTCAAAGAGACAAAAAGGGTCAGACCTCAAGGAGGTAGAGGGTGTAGGAAGTTCCAGGCAGTGGGGACACCTTGGGATAAGCCCCAAACAGAAGCCCCCAAGCATTTTCAGGGGCAGAGACAAAATGGTTTGGCCTGGAAGGTGTTGGTCACCCTGGATGGGTTCTACAAGGCTGGAAAAGAGCCCAGGGTCCATTCTGGGGGTGTCTGTGCCCCCTGAGCAATCTCTGCCTTTCCAGCCAGTTCAGCCCTCCCTTGCCTGAGGGCTGCAGTTTAGGGGAGCTGGTGCAGCATCTTCAGCCTGGCCCCCTTCAAAGCCCAGCCCAAGCTCTGTTCTTCAGGCTGGTCCCATCTATGCCCCCTCCAGTGACTCAGTAAGCCTGTGCGAGCTGGGCAGGTCTGGGCAGGCAGCTCAACACAGGCAGGAGCAGCGTCGGGTACCATCCAGGAACTGATTGTTTCTATGGTCCTACCTGCTCTGCCCAGTTTGGCCCAGGCTGTGCTGGTTCAAGTGACAATCGTAGCAACTCTGTTTCTCTCCACAGATGACTCTGGGGACGACGACGAAGGGAGTACCTCCCCAACTGACAAGAGCGAGCTCCAGCACACACTGAAGAATCTCTCCCTGAAGTTAGATGACCTTAGCACATGCAATGATCTCATTGCCAAGCATGGGGCGGCACTCCAGCGCTCCCTGAATGAGCTGGACAGCCTCAAGATTCCCTCGGAGAGTGGGGAGAAGCTGAAGGTTGTGAATGAGCGGGCCACCCTCTTCCGAATCACATCCAATGCTATGATCAACGTGAGTGCCCACCCCTACTGCCATCCAGGCGTAAGGGTCTCAAAAGGGAGAGAGCTCTCTGCCGCCGGCCCTGTGATCCCCAAGTCAGTAGCCAAGGGTGCTTGACAGACCATGCCTCCTGTCATTTCCTGTGGCTGAGTCATTTTCCAGAGTACCCTCCCACACTCTGCAGCCTCTCTATATCGCTTCACACAGCCAGTGTTGGGTGAGGACATTCTTTTTAATGGTCGGGTGGAAACTGGAACTGACTGTAGAGTCTGGCTGAGGCTCACAGGTAGTTCAAGAAGGTCGGGGCTCCAAGGTGAAAAGCCACCCTGGTGAGTTACCTTGGCCCACATAGTAGGGACATGGCAGCTGCTACTGCTCCTGCCCTGGGCCCATCCCACTGGTGCAGTGAGAGCAGAGCCCACATCAGCACGGCAGAGGGGGCAGGTGCATGTGGTGGGGGGCTTGGGTTGCGGTTCCCCTGGTTGGAAGAGCCTTCGAACTGTACTTGCCAAGGGTTGTGCCAACCTGATAGTAGCTGTACAAACTGAGCGACCACAGAGGGCAAACTAAGAAACCCTCCCTGGGCTCTGGAAACCGTGCTGCTATGGCTGGGAGCCAGGAGGGCGTCTGTGCGACGGGAACACAGTGTGGGACTGTGCTTTTGGGCTCTTCTTTCTGCCTGGTGAGCATCCCCCTTGGTCTGATGCAACAGCCTGCTCCCAAGGACAGCCTTCTAGAGGGGCACATCCCCCCAGTGGGTTCCAGGCACAAGCAGCCTGGGTGGCATGCTGGGAACAGGATGTGGACCAGGAACCCACCACCCCTAATTCCCAAGGACCTGTTCGTGCACTGACCAGGGCAGAAGATGTGCGCAGAGGTGGAGGCCCACACGGGAAAGTGAGGTCCACAGAATGCGGCTTATTAGGAGGGTTACCCGGCTGGCTGGTGACAATGGGCGATGCCCAGGGGAGCCTCAGCTGAGGGACCACTCCTCCAAGGCAAGGGTCAGAGTGGACCCAGGCTGCGAATTGGCACCAGGCTCTAATCCTGACCAGAAACTCTGGGGCAGGGTAAAAGATAGAGGATGGAGCCCACTGCAGGCCAAGGTTCCCACGATAAACGCAAGGCACACCTGCCCAGACATCCTCAGGCCTGGAATGCCTGCCTGGGTGCAGCCTCAGGAATCCTCACCCTGGGGCCTGAGGCCGAGTGAGGAGCACCCTCTTCCCAGATTACCAGGAAACATGGCGAAGACCTATGTGTACCTTTGTCCATCCCCAGATCTCACAGTGCCCAGGGCTGCCGTTGGCACTGTGTGCAGGGGATGCTGCAGGGCTGCAGCTCTGTGGTCACCCTGTGTGTTGGGCCTGTCATCAGCCCGTGCCCATGTTCTCTTCCATCCACACACTCTCTTGGGACACCGTCCTCCTTTTTACCCTATAGATGCTTTAAGCCCAGGTACCTGTATTACCAATGTTACACTGAGATACTGAGCACTTAGGGACATAATGCTGATGCTATGTTTGTGCTTCCCTAAACATCCAGAACCCAGTGCTGCCCACGGCTTCCCCACCACTGCCTCCAACCTGAGATGAAGCCACTTGACCTTAAGGAGGCACGTTTGGCTTTTCTAAGATAATGAGCCTCACAGCTGGCTGAAGCCAAGCACCATCTTTTATCAGGCATCAGAGGCTCATCTGTGTTTATGAAGCCGTAAAACAGCTCGAGATTTAAGTGCATAATGAATTATTTTATGGGCAGCATAGCCTCCTGGGGGTTGGTTATGAGGCTTATTTCCAGTCTGGACTCCAGGGAAACATGTCAGTGACAGGAGCTGCTCCTTCTCAGCTGTGCTGTGTGGATGGGCTGGTGTGAACCTGACAAGGAGATCTGCATCAGAGGAAGCGGGGGTTGCCCCAACTGGCTGAGCTTGTTGTCCAGGCTGGTTCAGAGCCCAGGTTTCTCCGAGGGACCCACCCCGACACCTGTTCCTCAACTGACAGGAACTACATCTGTTCTAGGAGGGCTGTTTGCATGGCTCTCAGCACTAGGTGTCCAAGCCCCGACCGTGTGCTGCAGAGCCGTGTAGGAAAGCTGGCTTAAGGGGCGTGGGACACAGGGGTCACCCTGGTGAGGCCTTGCTTCCCTGCCTGTTATGAAGAGAGTGGACCCGGGATCCACCACCCTGAATTCCCAAGGACCTTTTCGTGCACTGAGCTCTATTGTTAGTTTTAGAGTGGAAAGTGAGCTTAGAGACCACTTGAGCTACCTAGTGTCACCAAGCCTGGATGCAAACCCAGATTTGTGTGGGACACTAGAAGAGTGATGTCTCCTGAGCATGCAGCCCCTGAGTAAAAGCTCCTCTCCTGCTGCAGCTACACTCTGAAGTCAGGGTATAGAGTGGGTGGCCTCACATCTACCCAGGGTGGGATCCCAATCTCAGGACCTTTTTTTTTGAGACAAGGTCTCACTGTGTAGTCCAGACTGGCTTTGAACTTGGAACTTCTTTGTGTCCCTGTCTTTTACCTTTAAGCCTTCATGTGGCCTTTGATCACCATGACTGATGGCACAAACGTCCAGGTGTCGCTGTAAGAAGGAGCTGTCTCTCCCCGCTGTGGGGATCGCACTGCACCTTCTCTCCCCTGCTCCCCACCCCCATCCTGACGGTGACGTGGGCCAGGAAGCTTCCAGCAGCCCACACCTGACTTTTGAGAATCTATTCCCTGTGACCCCCTGGACAGGATGAGGCCCCCTGCTCGATGCTGCTTTCAGCCCTAGTGACTGGCTGTGTTTTCCACCTTGAAGGCTCTGGTTGAACCTGGATCACAAGGATGAGGAGGGAGGGTGGGAGGAAGGAGCCAGGGCTGGCTGTCAGACAAACCTGACAGGGAAATGACGGCCAAGCAGCCTCTTGCTACCTGGACAGGGCCCTGCCGCTTCATCCCCACTTCTCCCCTGGTCGGCAAAGAATCCGGCACTGCCCAGCCTTCAGGGGAAAAGTCAGCGGGACAAATGTTAAACCTCCTTTAAATTTCAGGAAGAGCATCAGTAACAAGCCTTTTGGTCCCAAGCTCCCAGCGGGGCAGGGGAAGGGGAAAGAGGTCCCTTGGATAATTCCCAGATCCAGGGCTCCATAACCAGTGGCACAGACTTATGCTGTGTCAGGTGCCCCCTGAGGGACAGGGCAACATCCTCCCATCTTGGCTTGTAGGGTCTCTTCTCTGTGTTTGAGGGAGCTATATGTTCTACAGTTTCTGGATTGAGCCCACTGAGGGACACTGCAGTGCTTCACCCCGTGTCCTTGCCAGTGCTGTTTGTCCTCACCGTGCGGTGAAGCCATGGCCATGTGGCTCCTACAGTTAGGGAGGTCCTGCCCGATGGGTGCATTTAACCCAGACATTAGCAGCTGCCTAGTGCTATCTATCTGGGTCTGTGTGTGGGGAGGGGTGGGGGACAGCTTCAGCAGGGAACAGGCGGGCCTGGTCACCCTTGGAGCTCACAGTCCAGTGGAATTCTGTAGTGATGTGATGTTTAGTGATGTGACCTTCAAAAGGAATGTTGATCCAGGGCTAGCAACTTACATGGCTGCCTTTGAAAGCCAGGTATAGGGAAGGCCAAGGGAGGGACTGGGAAGGGAGGTTCAGGCCCAGCTAACTGCACCCTCAGGGAAGACTGGCCCTTAGGGGTAGTCGTGTGCACCTCTCCACCCTGGGAGCCAGGGCAAGCCCCAGCTGGGCCTGTAAAGGGCAGAAGTAACAGCTTCAGAACAGAGCCTGATTTCCCTGATTCTGAGCCTGCCACAGCCTTCTGTCTCACAGTAGGGAAATAAAGACTTGGTTGGGACCAGAAGGTCAGGAGAAGGGGAAACAAGTATGGTCACTTCTGACCACACATCCCCACGTCCAAACCTCAGCATTACCTCCCTCTTTGACCTGCATACTCGCAGCATCTCATGGACTTTTCTACCATGACATTTTGACCCATCCTCCCTGCAAGGGTGGGTCACAGTCCCCGTCACAGACCCAGTAGCACTGCAGCCTCCAGGCCTGGCCCAGGGCCCAGCCTATGGGAGCCTCAGCAAATGAGAGACAGGGAGAATTATGAAAGAACACAGGAACAAGTGAATGAATTGCTTGGTGTCTGGCAACATTCCCTAGTAGGAAATTTTTCAGCTGATAAAAGCCAGCCCAGCAGATCCCCTGCTTGAATTACTGTTTTGGGTAACTGTGAATTAGCCTGCCATTTAGGAGAAATCTTGCAGCAATATTAAATGACTCTGGTTTGCAGAATGAGTCTTAAACTCCACTGTGCTATCATATGGGACACTCTCTCCCATGTCCTAGTCCAGGAGGCACCTCGTGGTATGGCACTGGGTCTGTCCCTTGGTACAAGGTACAGGGGGATTGAATTACGGCAGGACATATCACAAGCTCATGCTTTGGGTATTAACATTCATTAAGTGTAAAAAGGAACCCCTCTGGGCTTATTCTTTGTTCCCATAAGTTTATCTTTGTAGTGAAGCAAAGTGGCCAGTGTGAAGGACAGGCTGTGGCTTGTTGGTGGTGTAATAGCGGTGATCCTCCCAGGTCTCCTGCCATGTCTTTGTGTTTTTCTCACACAGCCACTTGATGTTGGTATCATTACAGCTTCATTGTTATCATCATAATCTGTAATACTCAGACGCTACCCTGAGGCCCAGGGTGGTCATTTTTCCCCAGGGTTGCAGTCCCCACTGCTACATAAGCACATGGTCACAGCAACCTGTCCCTAGGCCATTCCACTGGCTGGAGCAGGGGACGGGGCTGGAGCTGCATCTGTGGTTGCCCAGGCCTCGCACACCTGGGCTACTGACCTCATGACCCTTGCCCAGAGCAGAATGCCCCATGGTATTATTGTGGCCCTTCTGAGGGCCAGCCCTTTGCGGAGTGCTGTGGGAGATGCTTCCTTGGCCATGAGAGCAGGTTCTGTCTGCAGCCGCCCCCTGTTGACAGAACTAGGCAGTGCTTGCTTCT